CCCGCCTACCTCGCAGGGGGTGCCTGTTGTGGGGAAGGGAAGGGAAAGGAGTTTGTAAGCCGCTCTGAGACACCTTTGGGTAGTGAAGGGCGGGGTACAAATCCAATCTCTTCTCCCTCTCTTTTTGTTTTTAAAACGTTTAAATGTTCTGAATGTTTTAAAGATCGTGTTCTTATTCTTTAAACTTATTTTACGCTGTAGTGGATCAAGTTGTTGTGAACTGCCCTGAGTGGGGAAGGGTGGTTAAAAAAAATAAATACTTGATATAATAAATCGATCAATAAATAAAATAGACCCAGGTAGGACTATTTGGCCACTAACTCTCCCCGTCCCTGTGAAGCAATCCCTGTGAAGCAATCAGAATGAGAAACCACGCCCAAGAGTAAATAACCCCAGAAAGCTCAAACAAGAGAGGAAGTCGAGCCACAGGGACAGCAAGCAGAACGCCCAGGGCGACTCAGCAATCTAAAGATGCAGTGGATCGCAGGTTCGATCCTAAGCAAAAAAATTTTTTAACTTGATTTTATTAATTCGTTAGATTTCTATCCCGCCCCCCCGCCGAAGCGGCTCAGGGCGGCTTACAACAATTGCAAAACCAGCATAAGTACACATATAAATACAACTCAATAAAATAGCTCAGCTCATGTCCAATTAAAGAAATACAGTTAAAACCATTTAAATGTGGCAGTGTCGTATAATAAGGTGCAAGTGCAGCACAGCCGATGTAGGGTCTTTGCTACTGATACGCCTGGCAGAAATGCTCCGTTTTCACGGCCCTGCGGAACTGCTGGAGGTCCCGTAGGGCTCTGATCTCGCTGGGGAGCTCATTCCAGAGGGTCGGCGCCAGTGTTCCCTCTTAAGCCGAGTTCGTGTAAGCTAGCTCACAGAATTTTAGCCTCCAGCTCACGGATTTTTGTCTTAGCTCAGGGAGGATGACTCCAGAGCAAGCTAATTTATGCAGTAGCCAAATCATTCGCTCACAACTTTCATGCCAGCAGCCCACAAAGTAGAAATTTTGCTCACAAGACTCCACAGCTTAGAGGGAACATTGGACTCGGCACCAGTGTTTCCTCTAAGCTGAGTTCGTGTGAGCTAGCTCACAGAATTTTAGCCTCCAGCTCATACATTCTTGTCTCAGCTCAGGAAGGATGGCTCCAGAGCAAGCTAATTTATGTAGTAGCCAAATTGCTTGCTCACTGCTTTGATGCTAGTAGCTCACAAAGCAGACTTTTTGCTCACAAGACGCTACAGCTTAGAGGGAACGGCGCCACCAGGGAGAACGCCTTGGTCCTAGTCGCCGCCAACCTTGGCGTCCCTGACCCGCTTCCACAAGAGAAACTGTCTTGGGAAATAACTAAATGGCTTAAAAATGTCATCCCCATATACCCGTGTGCTCAACGGTTTTTTTCCGGGTTTTTTCGGAAAAAAACGGAAATTTTTGGAAAAATTGAAAAAAATGCTACATTAGCATTTCTTTTGTCTTTTCTAGATTGAAAGTCATTCTGTTACTTTAGGAACATAAAATATGACTATAGACATTTTTATTTGGCATGAAATTATCACAACTAGCATATTAAAAATATAGTGTATCCAAACAATTATTACAAACAGAATACCCACCCACATGCAAAAACAAAACTAAAACCTTTTTCTTTTCTTGTGACAATAGCACCTCCTAAAGGAAGAAATGCATCTTGCATTGGAGAGTTCAGTTTGTAACCTAGGACTGGCTTGTCCTCAGTGCACAGAAATTAGATCAATCTGAAATTATTTGGAAAATATTTGAACACCTTGTCTTAAAATATTTTATTCATCATGTTAAAATAAAACGTTCCATAATCAATTTCCTATATATGTTTTAATTTGTTATTATTAATAAATACATGTACCTCTTTTTATGAAAAGGTTTTAATATTGGCCCTCCTTTCGACTAACCTTTGTTTGGTTTTGGAAAATATTTGAACACCTTGGCTTAAAATATTTTATTCATCATGTTAAAGTAAAACATTCCATAATCAATTTTTTTTCTTTTCTTTTTTCAATTTTTCCAATTTTTCGGAAAAAAACAAAAAGGCTTCAGGAAAAAAATGGGAAAAAACCGTTTCCCCTTCCGAATTTTTCCATTTTTTTTCCGGGCCTTCACTTCTCTATGTGTGACTTGGTCCTCTGTCAGGCTTTTAATCACAGCAGCCTTCTGCAGAGCCGGGCCACCTTCTCCCTCTAAGGGACTCACCTTTCTGCCAAAGATCACCTCGGAATATCCTGGGCCGTGCCAATGGAAAGGCACCCCTGAGCCAGAACCTGAGGAAGACGATGAGACACAGAGAGAGAAGTCAGAAGTGCCACTGAGTTGCCTCTTTAGTCTGTTGCAACCAAAAAAACCCCCACAAAACCCCAACCCAAAATGAATTAACAAGTTTATCAGAATGGGGGCGGGGGGGGGGGCGGGGGCGGACGACATCAGAAGAGCCCTGCTGGATCAGTCCAGTACAATGTTCCCTCTAAGCTGTGGAGTCTTGTGAGCAAAAATTCTACTTTGTGAGCTCCTGGCATTAAAGTTGTGAGCAAACAATTTGGCTACTGCATTAAATTAGTTTGCTCTGGAGCCATCCTTCCTGAGCGGAGACAAAAATGTGTGAGCCAGAGGCTGAAAAACTGTGAGCTAGCTCACACTAATTCAGCTTAGAGGGAACACTGGTCCAGTAGTCCACCTAGTTCAGCCTCCCGTCTCACACAGGGGCCAGCTCCAACCCCCCACACCATCTTGGTCGCCCTCCCCTGTAGTTTTCCCAGCTCTGCAATGTCCTTTTGGAGATATGGTGAGTCCAGAGCTGTACTCAGTATTCCAAGTGAGGCAGAACCATAGATCACCCCCTCTTGCCCGATGCACAGAACGGACTCTTAGTCAGCAGATTCAGGCCTGATTAAACAGGAGGCAAAATAATAATTCACCCACTCGATTCTGCACTCGAGGAACATCTCATTTAAACATAGCAGCACGTGCAGGTCGGACTTTGCCGTTCGGACAAGGGAACGCCCGAGGGTGGGACGCTTCCTCCAGGGTCGGACCCCTTTGAAGAATGCCCCCAAAGCCATCCCGAACGTGCCCAGTCCTCTCATCCCACTTGATGAGCTGGAACTGACCAGCAATCCCAAAACTGTACGCTGCAGTCGTGCCTGGGAGCCGGAATGGAGGGGGCCGGTACTTCTGGAAGAGAGGCCCCCACTCGGTATAGTTATTGTCGCCAAAGAAGTACAGCGTTTCTGCAGAAAAGGAGATAGAATCATAGAGTTGGTACCTCCAAGGGTCATCTAGTCCAACCCCCTGCACGATGCAGGAAATTCACAAATACCTCCCCACACCCCCCAGGGACCGCTGTTCCATGCCCAGATGATGACAGAAAACCTCCAGGATCCCTGGCCAAATTGGCCTGGAGAAAAATGGCTTCCTGACCCCAAAGGGGCGATCGGCATTTCCCTGGGCGTGTCAGAAAGGGCCACAAGAACGAAGCCCTGGGGCAAACCTCCCTGCCCTCCTCATTTCAGACGGCACCACTTTTCCCCCGCCATTTTTTGCCCGCGCGGGCGATCTCTGGCTTTTTTTTAAAAAAATGTTCGCTTTATAGCGCTATAGCACTATAACACTCCAGGCATTCCAGTGGGGTTGATATACTGGTGTTCCGTTATAGCACTATAATGCTATAAAGCAAACATTTTTTTTTTAAAGCCGGAGATCGTCCGCACGGGTGAAAAACAGCGGGGAAAAGTGCATTGGAACCGGGAGAGGAAACTGAAGACTACTTGGAAG